GGTACCACGATCATGTGACACTGCCATCGCAGAGCATCACGGGAGCAGATGTGATATAAATATCGATGTACGTCCAGCAGGTGGCGACATTGTTCCGAGAAATATTTAATAAAACGAAAACAAACATGATTTTTATTTATAATTATAAACAACTATTAGAGATAATAACGTATTTTATATTTTCCCAAATAAATAATTAGACTTTTACGTAAAGTTTACGATATTTGATTCGGGTTTCTTTCAATTAATTTAAAAAAGGTTGAGTTTCATATGGTTAAGCCTGGAAGTGACCCGAATGATGCTGGCGGCTTCCCATGATGCACTGAGTGTTTCTTCATGCGGTCATTTTTGAACTTCTTTGAGGTTGTTTGTCTCTTTTATGCTCTTTGACTATTTTCTTCTGTTTATTTTTCACTTTTTTCGTTGGAATTAAGCATCTCTTAATGATTGTTGTGTTCCTTTCCTCAATCATGACCTTTGCACTTCTCCCGCTTTCATGTCACTTGGTTTTCTGTGAATATCTTTTGCACATATTGTGCAGATTCTTTGGCACTTTTTGTTGACTTAACATCATCTTTTTATGACTCCGTTTCACTTTTATGTTGTTTTTATGTGTTTGATTTGAATCTTTTTGTTCACCTATGTCATTCTCATCTGTGTTCTGTGGCTCTTTTTGCTAGTTTTGCATCTTTTGTGTGTTTATATTCATTTTGTTCCCTCAGTTTTGCTTCTTTGTGGACATCATGTGTTCACTGTGCAAAGGTGTTGGTCTCCTCTGAGGCCTCAGAAAACCAGAGTACAAAAAGGAAATAACATTGTGAGCTTATCATGAACAACGAACCAGACGGTGGGCAGCAGAAGGAACAGATGAATTAACTGAGCGTGGAGGCGGTCCTCCTCTTTGCTGCTCCGCGCTCCAGGATCTGGTAGACTTCGTCTTTGTTGTGCACCGTCACCTCCTCCAGACCCTTCACCACCACGCCGCGCTGCGGAGGCAAACACAGAGACGTCAGATTCCCGGAGATTTCCGCAGCGGGCGTTCGTTTCATCCGAGCTGCGTGACGCTCACCTTGTTGCGAGGGTCGTCGAAGAGCTGCAGCCGCTCGCTGACGTCCTCGGTGGGGCTGAGGAGGTCAAACAGCTCCTCGTTGTAGATCTCCAGCAGCGAGACTTTGACGGAGAACTCTGTGCCGTTCTCAGAAAGCTTTTCAAAGATCTGATGCAGCGTGCGAGGGATGATGCCGGCCAGCGGGTCCTAGAGACGCAAAAACACGGGAATTTATTTCAGCGCTGACCACGGAGCTGTTTGCACCATTTCCACAACAATTAACAAACAGCTGTGGTGGCGTTTGTCACCCTCGTTTGTTGCTACTTGTGAAACTTGTAAATAAAACAGGTTTTATTTTGGTGATCTGACACATTAATGCATCTGAACTGACGATAAAAAGCCGGCTGCATGAGAGTTATTTAACCTAACATCACGTCTTTGGTCTGTGGGAGGAAAACCGACTACGTGAATGACTCGATCGTTTCATTGAATATTTTGATGTGTTTCATTATTTAAGTAGCATTAAAAAATCAGCCTAAATAAAAGTCCAAAGACACCATAAATGACTTTGCG